GCCACCCAGGCTGCCCTACCCTGTGTCTTTTGACTGGAGCATGTAGCCCATTCACATTCAGAGTAACTATTGAGAGATATGAATTTAGCTTCATAGTATTATCTTACAGTACCTGTTTCTGTGAATTGTTTCTTTGGGCTCCCTCTTTGCTTAGGGGTCCCCCTTAATATTTCTTACAGAGCTGGTTTGGTGGTCACATAGTCTTTCAGTTTCTGTCTATCCTGGAAGCTCTTCACCTCTCCTTCTATTTTGAATGACAGCCTTGCTGGATACAATATTCTTGGCTGCATGTTTTTTCTTGTTTAGTACCCTGAATATATCTTGCCAGCTCTTTCTGGCCTGCCAGATAGGATAGGTTTGCTGTTAATCTGATATTTCTTGCCATATAAGTTAGGAATCTCTTGTCATGAGTGCTTTTAGGATTTTTTCTTTATCTCTGAAATTTTCAAGCTTCACTATTATATGTTGGGGTATTGATCAGTTTTTGTTGATCTTTTGTTCTTTTGGTTATGAATTCCTGTTTCCTTTCCCAGATTAGGGAGGTTTTCACCTATGATTTGTTCAAACATATTTTCTGGTTCTCTCTTTCTCTCTCCACACCCTTTGGAATCCCAATAAGACAAATGCTATTCTTTCTCAAATTATCACTTAATTCTCAGAGTCTCTCCTCATTGGCTCTTAGTTATTTTTCTCTCTTTTCCTCAGCTTTCTTCCTTTCGATAATTTTGTGTTCTATGCCACTCACTCTCTCCTACCTCATTAACCCTAACTGTTAGAGCATCCAGTTTAGGCTGCGTCTCAGTTAAAGTATTTTTATTTTCAGCCTGATTAGATCTCATTTCTACAGTAAGAGAATCTCTAGAGTCTTTGTGCTTTTTTTCAAGAGCCATCAGTAATTTAATAATTTTAATCCTGAATTCTATATCTGACATCTTACTTAAATCTATATCCATTAGATCTATGGCCAAGAGTATTACTTCTGGTTATTTCTTTTATGATGAATTCTTCCTTCTAGTCATTTTGTCCAGTGCAGAATGGCAGTATGAGTAAGCAGAGTCAAAAATATCAACCATGACCTAAGTAAAATATACCCTAGGCAATTCTGAAGATGTCAGGGACCAGAAAAAAAACCCCACCACAAATGTGAAAAAATTTTTAAAAATTGTAAAAATTTTAAAACAGTGTGTGTGTGTGTGGGGGGGGATAAGTGGGGGAGAAAGAATATAGTCTTACAGTGGACAAAGATGGTGATCCTCTTGGTTCCAAGTGTATTTTTTTCTGTATGTTAGATGGCACTAAATTCCAAATTCATATAAAAAAGCAAAACTTCTATAGAGAAACAACAGCAACAATAAAAACAAAAATAAGAAGAAAAAAAGGAGGGAAGGATGGGAAGGAAGAGAGAATATAATGTCACAGAGTGGACCAATAACAGTGTTCCACTTGGTTCTGAGTGTATTTGTAGAAGGTATTAACTCCAAAATTATAAAACAAAACAAACTTAAAAAACAAAACTCCCCCCAAATTTACATATCTACAAAAATTAAATTGAATATGTTGAAAAGAGACCAAAAATGAAGAATATGTAATTGTTAAAATATGAAAATCAAAATGGAAAAAAAACTTAAAAATGAAGAATTGATAAAATATTGTAGTTAAGATAGGAGAGAAAAAAAGAATATTAGAAAATTTTAACCTGAAAGATAAATGAATCATAAGGAAGAAACCTCGAGTTGTATGTACTATTTTCCCTCAGTCCTAGAGCTTTCCAGTGCTGGTTGGTCAGTAAACTTGCTATTCACCTGTTCTTCCAGGTGGTCTTCTGGGGGAAGGGCCTGCTGTGCTGATTGTCAGGTGTCTGTGGCTGGGTGGAGATAGCCCCGCCCCTTTCCAGGTGTCTGAGCTCTCCAGAAGTTTGTCCTATGAGGCCTTTGTTCTCTGGAGGCTACACCTCTCCCAGGTGAAAGGAAAAAAAAAAAAAACATGGTGCCAGATCTCTAGCCTGAGAGCCAAGAGCTCCCAGTAGACACTGAATTGCAGTCTCCCAGTGGATGCTGGCTCAGATCCTCCTGGAGGCAGGCGTGGGGGCACTGGTTCATACAATTTGAAGGGCGCCTGGTGGTGGGAGAACTTTTGCCGCCTTTTGCCCTCCCTGGTTTCTGCCTCTCCTGGAGGGATTAGAGGATAGCACACTTCTGCCCACTGCTGGGCCCTGGGGTGGGGAGCATTCACCCCCTGGAGTGTGCACCTGCTCTGCCTTCCTGGCAACAATCAGAGAGTTGCTGCATTCCAGTCCTTTACCAGGACCCAGGGCGTCAGTGGTCCCTTTATCCATCCATGGTTTGTGGTTTGCGTCACAAGTTGAGCTTTCTCCTGGGTGCCTCTGTTCTTCCTGTGCCTCTGGGAATATTGGGATCTCCTTGTCCCTCCTGCAGTTCTGCCCTGTTTCACCACTGAGCACTTTTCAGGCAAGGAAGACTCTTTCAGGACCAGATTTCTAAAGGACCCAATTGAACGCCCTAGTGCTATAACTGCTTTCCAGCAGCTGCTTGCAAAGGCTCCCTCTCCCTGCCATTTATCTTCTGATATATCTCTTCCATTTCTCTTTGCATTACTACCTTGCAAGAAGTGATCACTTTTCTCTCTGTAGTGTTCCAGCTATTCTTTCTTTCCATCTCAGGTTAAATTCATAGGTGTTCAGGATGGTTTGAAAGTTAGCTAGCTAAATTTGGGGGACTAAATGAAAATGAGGATACTTATGATTTCACCATCTTACCTCCCCCCTCTGCTCTAGTCTTTCTTATTTCCCTTCTTCTGCTGACTTGAGGCTTTATTTGCTCTTCCTTTTCTAGGTCCTTTATGTGTAAGGTAGGTTCTCACATGCTTACTTAGTTATATTGCCTCCATATCCCTCAGAGGGAACCACTGTTCTCTTGCTTTTCCACCACAGTTTGTTTTTCCTGCTGAAGAGTTGCCTTAAGCTGAAATTCACTCACTCCAATTTGCCAGAATCATCTATTTATCATGAGTTATTTTCCATATAAACCTTTGTATTTAGTTATATTTCATGATAAATTAAATCACAAAATTTCTTAAGGGAAGGAAAAAAGAGACATAGGGGAAGGATAAGAGAAAATATTAGAGGGTACCAGTTTTAGATATTTATTAAATTTAATACCTTCAACAGGAATGTCTTCTTCAGCAAGAAAGGAGAGTAATATTAGCACAGAAAAAGCTAATTTGACAAACACAGATGCACAAGAGAGTTACTACAACTGAATTAAACAGTAAGTCAGGCCTAACAGTTCCAGCAAGTTGTATAATTAAAACAACAGTACTCATTAATTCCCAGGGTATGGGAATGGAGGGATGGGGGTCATTAATGATCTCTCATTTAGAAAGACAAGAGAAAGAATGTTAACATGAAGGTGTCTTCCTTTTTGTTCAAATGTATCTGTCAAATGAGCAATTTTGCTCTTGTCAAAAGTTCCTCCTAGTGGCCACTGCAATTTCATATTGTTCTGGGAGAATTATGCCAATTGGAGAGCTATCTTATGCATTTAAACAGAAAAGGAGCATGTGTTTGGTATAGAGAATCAAATAGACTGAGATGATCCAATGAGAACTGCAGCAGTCAGTAAAAAACAACTTGGCCAAAGACCAGTCATCCCCATCTGGGGACCCAGAAAAATCCTTCACTGCAAACAGATTTTAAAAAGTATGGTAGTTCTCAGGAACACAGCAGAACAAAGGAAAATCCTTATATTGTCCAATATCTTGTAAAAGTAACCCAAAGCAAAATTTGTCTAAAGTACGTTGCTCTGATGAGACCTTTTAAACTTGTCAGTCCTTGGGCTTGGCTCAAGGTTGAATTTATCAGGCTTGTTCCTATCCTATCTCTTTATTTTTATTTTTTAAAGGTATGTATATGTATGTATGTATGTATGTATGTATGTATGTATTTATGAGAGAGAAAGGGAGAGTATGTGCATGCCACCAGGGGGAGGGGGGGAGGAGGAGAGAGAAGGACAAGCAGACTCCCTGCCGAGTGCAGAGCCCAACATGAGACTTGATCCCACAACCCTGAGATCATGACCTGAGCCAAAATGAAGTCAGATGCTTAACCAACTGAGCCACTCATGGCACCCCCTTGTCCTATCTCTTTAAACTTTATCCTGTAACATTCCATAACATGACAAATTGAGAGACAGTTGGTACTATTGTTAGGAGACAATGTGATCTTAATATTTGGGAGCTCAACAAAAACATTGGTGCTCAGTACCAATATGGTACTTGTTCTACTCTTGTGATTGGAGAAATCCCTGAGTGGGAGACTCAGAGGCTTCATGGAAGTACCGTTCTTGAGCCATGTTAGTGAGTTGATCTAAACTGGATCTCATTGGAACATACAAGATTTTTGACTTTTGTTCTCCCAAAGGACCACCAGAAAACCCTGTTAATCCAGCAGTTTTGATAAACATGAGTAGAGGATAGTATATTCAGGTGATCCTTCCTAGCTTTAGAATATTTAAACTCTCAAAGGTGTTACTCATTTCCTCTGTACAATTTCACATTTCCTATTCACCCCCAGCTCCCAAAGGAACCTCCCTAACAGAGCCTACTACTTTCATAAAAGCTCTGACTATCCATTTGCATGCTTCTTTCTGCTGTTTCTAGGTCTTGAATTGGAGCTTCTTTCTAGAATTATGCTAAGAGTAGAGCCCAAGCCATTGCATTGCTTAACTCCTGGAGGCACTATTCACGTTATAGTCTATGTGAATAGCAACGCATTGGCTTATATAATGCATAACCTCCATGACCACATATGCTACACATAAAGGATTAAGTGGACAAATATGAGAGGAAACAGTTAAATGGGTTACCATAGAAGGAAATTGTGCGTGCGCACACACGCATCTGTGTGTGTGTGTGTCTGTCTGTCTGTGTGATTAGCCTTGGAATCTGAGAGTATCAGTCTTTTTTCTCTTTTAATTTTTCAGAGATCTTCAGATCATCTTTTATGGCAGCTTCACGAATCTTCGAGACTTTACTGGGGAGATCCTACCTTATGAGAGGATCTTCATCCACCCAAACTTCACTGCTACCTCTCCTAAAGATGACCTCATGTTGATAAAGCTGGCTATACCTTTTACCTTCTTCTCCACAAGGCATTTACAGTGGCCTACTTTCAAGAATGCAGTTAAAGATTGCTTGATTCACACTTGGTTAGAGAATAAATACTTTATTGGTGAGTGACTATCACAAAGAAGAGTTAGTTCTTAGATATATTTACATCTTTAGGATCTCTGAATTAGGGGAAGGAATTGGAAACTTATCAGGCTAGTGCCAGATTTCTAAGCACATGTATAAAGCTAGAAAGGGAACAACAGTATTGGCTTTTTAGAGTAGAAGAAGTGATCTTTAGGGCTTTGGGGATCAAATCCTAATCGAAGTGTTGCATATATGGATCACATTGGCACACTGCAGGGGCTGGAATTCAGCAATCTATGTTTGAGTATTGATTCTAACATTCATCATAGGTTTATGAACAAATTCTTTTACTTCTTTGAATCTTAATTTGCAAATTGGTCAAAATCATATTTTTCTCTTTACCTAAAAGGAGTGATATCGTTATCAATTATAACAATGGTAGTAACTACCATTTGTTGATCACTAATTGTGTACCAAGCATGAAGCATCGGTACATATAGCCATTATCACATATCATATAGATAAGTTTCCTTGAGATTTATATCTTATAAGCCAGGAAAATAAGACTCAGGGAAATGAATTATCCAAGATCATCAGCTTGGCAATGACAGGGCTTGGATTCAGATTTTGTTTGATGTGTGCAGTGTCTTGAGATGTTTCTGAGAACCACCCTTTGATGCTGATAATCTGTCAGAGATGATAAACTGAGTAAGAAGATGTGTTTGATCCGTGGTTGTCCATTCTTACTGAGAAGAAGCCCTAAAGGAGGAGGAGGCAGGATGCTTTATGAAAAGGCAAACAGGAATCAAAGTCTCCTTTATTTTTTGTGCTTAGGAAATTCAAACAATAATCTTCAAAGCATCACAATTCAGATGAGCTCTAATATAAACTGCAAAAAATTATTGGGTGAAAAACTCCTAGAAGACATGTTTTGTATAGGACCCACACTAGGAAGTCAAGAACCCTGCCAGGTAAGTCTTCTTACCTCATTTGCCCCTAAGCTCAGTCTCTACTGTTTGTTGAGGTGCTGGATTTTTCAGTCAGGATAGGAGCTCAGAGAGTAAGGGAGCTGAAGAATGATGACTCTTTCTTTTCCACCCTGTCATAGAGATGATAGAAACAGATGTTGGGGAGTGGAAAGCTATCTCCCAGCGACTGTTTGGGAATACCTGTCTAGGGATGACTGGGAGGTGTAGGGGTAGTTAGTGCAATGGAGAGAAGCTTCCATACTGTATTCTTATATCTTGAACCCCTTTGCATGGTAAATGTAGTGGCTCTCATTTCTGTTCAGGTGTTGAGGAAATCTCAGGTGGGAAGGAAGTTCTGATCCCTCTACTCTATCTGGCAGGTGGTCACAGCTGCACCAGCCTTATGTGGCCGTGAATTACAAGGAATTTTGTCTTGGGAAACTGGATGTGTTCTAACAGGATACACTGTTGTCTTCACTGACCTACACAGCTACGTTCCGTGGATCAAGAACATTATGTCTACAAAATAAGCTGATATAGAGCTCCATTGACACACTTACCTCCCAGCTGATCCACAGCAATCATGCTATATATCTCAGTCCCAGTCTTTCATAGGATCTAGATCTGACTGGAGTTTCAAAAGAGATCGTTGATGACTCCTGAGTGTTGGCATGGCTCTAGTCTCTTTAACTGCTTCTTTGCTTATTCCTAACTCATGACTGAATGTTTAAAATATTGAAAACATGAGTGCTAGTCTCAAGAATTGGAATTCACTCAGGAATCTTTGTTGGATTCTACAAAACTCAAATATTTCTGTTAAAATACTCTCTGCCTTATCTTAAAAACACACAAAAAAAAACAAGTGGAACCGAGGGAAAATAACTACCAGGGGTCTATTTGGGCAAAGTGTAAATCATATAGCTGAGCGATAATTTACCAAAAGTTGGTCAGATGATTAGCAATTTTTCTAATGACCAGATGTCTCTTGGGTAAGTGTGTGTGTGTATGTTTGTATATATATATTGGTGGTTGTAGTTAGTTCCCATTAGTTACTTACAAGATCTATATAATTCATGTTTGCTTATTAGGTTTACTGAGGCCACCCAAAAGAATAAAACTATAATGTATATTTATAAATAATAGGATGGAATTTTTTCCCCAATGCATTTTCCTTCTGGTTTACTGCTTTTTATTTAAAATCACGCATGTTTTCTGAAAGGAGGGTACAAAGTGCTGGAGTTCTTGAGGATTTTGCCTGGGAGTTTTCATATATGCCTTTGGGTACTCATGATCACACACTTTCATCCACAAGTACACTGAAAAGTTGCTCATCATTCCAAAAATGTGTTCTTCAAATATTATTTTTCATTAATCCACGAGAGATTAAACTGATTTTATACTAAAGCCTATCCATTTTCATGTAAAAATATTGAACATTCAAGAAATTTATCTCAGAAATGTGAAATGCATTTTTATTCTGCCACATGCTGTGAAATAATTAGGATTTCTTAAAATTCAAATTGCTATCCAGTTGATTAAATCACCTATTTTTACACATTCACAAAAACAAAGAGTTTTTCCTTTTAAGACTTTCATGGCCATCAGAGAATGTGGAAAGTGCTTTGTATGCAGAGGAATAGTGTGGGAATTGGCAGCGCTTACTAACTTTGACAGTTTCCTCCTGTTTCACCCTTTTGTTGCCTAGTTAGTTAATTCCTATTTCTCCTGGTTGCTAACCATCCTTTTCATCCTTACCATATGCCAAGTTGTGTATTGTCATCAGCCAACTGAACTAGTTTCAAGAGAACTTTTTACTGAGATGATCTTCCTAACAACCTACGCTGAGTCCTGCCCTGTGTGCTCTTTGGCCTCATACTTACAGGTCTTACTATTTCCATTGTTCTAGGCTGAGTCAGGTATCTTAATTATGGATTGAGTCATGAATTCTTCGATTTGAGGGTCTTTTTTTCTTATTGATTGGGTCATGAATTCTTAATTTGAGGGTCTTTTTTCTTATTGATTGGGTCATGAATTCTTCAATTTGAGGGTCTTTTTTCTTCTTTATATTTTCTGGACTTGAGTTTTTCTTGTATAAATATCTTCTCTCTTTGTCATCTCATTCCTCAATTTGAAAAGGAAAAGGTCTACCTGTCTACCTATCTAGCTGTCTGTCTCTCTGTCTGCCTATCCATCTAATCATCATCTCTTCATCATCATCCATGTATCTAACTGAACCTAGGCTGTTTATCACACCACTAAATTTCGGTGTGTGTGAAAAGTTTTCTAATAATCCTATCAGTTTCACCCAATTTTATCCAATCCTGTATATGATTGATTCTAAAGATTTTTCTTTTCTCCCCTTCCTTTCCCTTCCTTCCTTCCTTCCTTCCTTCCTTCCTTCCTTCCTTCCTTCCTTCCTTCCTTCCTTCCTTCCTTTTCCACCACCTTTTTGGGCCTCTCTAAACTGGCTGGAGGCTGAGTTGAAGCTCTGAGCATGAATGGGTTTCATGTCCATAAGCTGAGACTATCCATGCCAAGTTGCCACACTACTTTAAAGCTTGTATAAAAAGTCACACTATCAGGCCTTAGTTTGGGCTTTTCAGTGCCTGTTAAGGGGAAGATGGCATCATCATGAATTCTGAGTAGTTGTAACCTGGGGCATGAACCTTGACTGCTGAGAAATGAGATGGGGGAGCCACACAGATAAATTCCCAGTGTTCTCACCTGGCTGTGGGCTGTTCAGAGGTGTGGGTTTGTCTCTTACATCTCCCTATAGCTTTGTTTCATGTATCTCCTTGCCTCGCTTCCATCTACTCCTCACTCTTTGTAACTGTCAAGTCATGTCAGGTCTTTAGTCCTTGCCTCTGCCTCTAAAGGACCACCTTTATTTTAATACGGCAACCAAAGTTCAGGAGTTGGTTTGTTCAAAATCAGTTGGCAGCAGCCCTTGGATTTGCATCTGGATCCCAGACCAAGCCAGATTGCTGTTAAGTGTTTCTAAATGTCTACTTTCATGTTTGTAATGTTCTTTTCACAGAACAGTAACAATCAGTTCAGAAACCAGCACTGGTCAGTGGACCATCACCATCCTGATAATACCAGCACTGCAAAAGCCCTGGGGTCTCGAGTTGTATTGCCTTTGCCATCTCTACCCTATATCTCCTTCCGGCAGCACTCACTGCTGGCAGATGTCAAAGGGACTTGTAATTTATCTATTATGTATTAAGTAATTTAAATGCCATTGCTTTCCTTCTTTATTTAGAGATGGAATTAATAGTTTAGGATCCTGGAACATCTCTCAAAAGTTCAAGAGAGCATTGTGTTTGATGGGGGAAAATAAAAGTTTGTTTTATTTAGATTATCATTTCACCTGGGCTGCATTCCGTCTTCCTGTATTGGGTCCCAAAGCTCTATAGCTCAATATATATATATTTTTAAAGATTCATTTATTTATTTGAGAGAGAGAGAGCGTGTGCATGCATGAGTGGGGGAAGGGACAGAGGGAAAGAGAGAATCTCAAGAAATTCTTTGCTGAGTGTGGAGCCTGATACAGGGCTCCATCTGAGGGCCCTGAAATCTGGCCTCAGCTGAAATCAAGAGTTGACATTTAACCGACTGGGCCACCTAGGTGCCCCAAAATATTTTTAAGTTTATTAAGAGAGAAAGTTCATTTGTAAGGGAGGTAGAAGACATTTAGAGGTTGATAGGAAGCTGTAGAGTCAGATAGATTTAGTTTCAAAATCTAGCCTCACTTATAATTTAACTGTGTGCTGGGGTAAATTATTTAAGCCCTTTAGATCTCAGTTTTGTCATTCTGAAAAAGGGGATAATAATAACTAGTGGCTAAGGGCTCAGGCTGTGGAGTTAGGCTGCTGGCATTTGCATCCTGGCTTTATACTTACAACTTCGGAGAGTCTTCTTGGGTGTGTTACATAACCTCTATTTCACTTTCCTTAAATATTAAAACAGAGTTAATGCCACTACTACCACATAGACTAGTTGCAGATTATAAATTACGTATTAAGTATCGAGTTCTTAAAAGATGGCATGGCATAGTACATAGTAAGATCTCCATAAATGTTAGATACTACCTTAGGAATAGGGTTGTTGTAGTGGTTGAATGAGATAACCAATGTAAAGCCTCTGACACATGAGAGATATACAGTAGATTGAAAACCTTACTCGATCATTAGATCCCTAAGAAGTACATCACCTCTTTTTTTTGCTGCAAAATTATAGTAATTTTGCATTGAAAATTAATGTCTTTTACAAGACTTTTTAACTTAATTTTATTGACATATAATTAACATACAATGTTACATTAGTTTCAGATGTACAACGTATTGATTCAACAATTCTATACATCGATTTAACAATTTTATATGCTACTCACCATGATAAGTGTAGTCACCAACTGTCACCATTCACTGCATTTCCTATGTTGTACTTATTATCTCCATGACTTTTTATTTTCTAATTGTAAGTTTCTACCTCTTAATCCCCTTTATCTGTTTCACCCATCCCCTGCCCACTCCCATCTGGCGACCACCACTTTGGTCTTACACATCACTGCTGTTTGAAGGTCATGATGCATGTATACATGTAACAAAGAACATTTGGATTTTCAGTTGGCAGAACTGTTTTGGAAAAAACCTGGGGAATTCTATATAGATTTGCACCTAGATTTATACCTCTTTTAATGAAAACTTACTGAATACATGCAATGTGTTAGATATTGCAGCCAACTCTCTGAAGACTATAACAGTTGACCCTGCCCAGAACTAAGAACTGTGAACTCAAAGCTACATAATTGGGATAAGACATATTCACAAATAACTCGTGCCATGCTGAGCTGCTGGGTTCTAGAGACATACAGAGTATTTGGGAAATCCCAATGAGGGGGAGATCACATCTAGCTGGAGGAACAGGTCACTTAAGACACTAATCACTTAGGGATGCTTGCGTGACTCAGCAGTTGAGCATCTGACTCTGGCTCAGGGTATGGTCCCAGAGTCCCAGGATCGAGTCCTGGGATGAGTCCCACATCGGGCTCCCTGCGTGGAGACTGCTTCTCCCTCTGCCTGTGTCTCTGATTCTCTCTTTCTCTGTGTCTCATTAATAAATAAATAAAATCTTAAAAAAAAGAGAGACTAATCACTTAAGCGAGTCTTAAAGTCTTAGGAGGACATTCATAGAAAAAGACAGGAAAAGAGGGCATTTCAGGAGTCAGAATCAGCATGAACAGAAGTCTGAATTTAGGGAGATAGGGATAGCATTTGGTAAGTAAGCATTTGGCAAATAGTAAGTAGTCCAGAATGAGGATAGCACAGGGTGAGTGTACACAGAAAATTGGCTGTATATAACTGGAAGGGTGGCTCATGGATTAAGTATGACAGATTATGATTCCAGTTGTTACATTTATTCCTTGTTTCACTGGTTTCCAGGAGGAGAGATTGTCCCTAAACACTCCTGACCTGTTGACCTACTCCCTCCCCTACTCCTATTTTAAGGTGAAGGGATCTTTCTGCTTCATGAGTTCAGGGGCAGAAACCAAGCCTAGCTCCTTCTTTTGCCTTCTTTTGTTTCTCTGAGAGCCATAGACCCACAAGAAGGCCAGAAACCACGTGGTGGATTTTGCAGAGGCAGAGTGAGAAAAGGAATGAGGGGTTGGGGGAAGCCTAGGGTCCTTTTTCCCCCCTGTTTGGGATGTTCTGATGCCATCTATCTAAGCCTTGTATTTCAGCCAACTTTTACCAGTGATAGACTCCTATATATTTATTTACATTTACATGTTTATCTCCATTTGTTTCTCTTCCTTTTTTGTGTGTTCTTGGAGATGTTGTGTCATAACATAACAAGACATAACCTCATACTATTAATATCCTGTTAGTATAGTAGAACACACCTGAAAGCTTATCTCCAATGCCATAGGATAGTAGGTGGAGCCACTATCCTCCCACCCTCCTTCCCTCTGAGAGTGTTCTTGAACCTGCCATCAGGGGAGCTGGTCATCAGAAAAAGCAGTTTTCTCTGTCCTGCCTCC